AAAACTGAAAAAAAAAAAATCAATTTTTCTATTAAAGACACCTTTTTTACCCTTAAAACCCAGCTTTCAGAAATTTATTATAATAATTTTTATTTAAAAATATATCTTGATAAATTTTCAGAATCGAGCGATTTTATGAGAATTAGTTAATTAAATTTCTGTCTGTGTAGGCACCATTTTTTCAAAAATGAAATTATCATTTTAGAAATATCTAATTCAAGATTGATGTTGTCACTATTATATGAGGAAAAACTAAAGAACATTAGAAAGCACAAAATAATTATGACATTAAACTGATCCTAAAAAAAATGTTTTTCGGCTCATAAATAACCAGCCATGGTTAATTAATCTAGGAAATAAAAAACATATATATTCACACTGGGTTATACAAAATATAATCCCACTTTAGTGTAAGAAGGATAGGAGCTCATTAAACTTGTATGGTAATTTTCCCAGCGATTGTGTCATAATAAAAAATCATAGTTTCTTAAACTGTGTAAAACAGGTTAACGCTTGGAAGTGATACAGTTGTTAAAACAACATAACATGAGTATGCAAAAAAAAAAGTCATGGCCTGTTATGTTTGTTAATTAAACTTTATTAAAAGCTAAATAAAGGTAAAAAAAATTTTATCTACTGAAAAACATTTCTAATATTTTTAATAGATAAATAAAAACTTGTTAACCACAGATTTTCTTATACTGTCAGTCTACCATTTAAAAATTTAAGTAAAAAAAGTATTTGTCAAAAACTTTAGGTAATTTTCTGCTTTTCCACACAGAAAAGCATCAGGTTAAAGAAAAAAATATCCAATGCAAATTTTATTCAAAAGTAAATAATGCAATTTCTCTGATTCTCCTCTATACTTGAATTAATTTTTTTGCCAAAGAGTTAAATAATATTTTTGCGGGGTCAAACCTGATTCTCATATCTGAGTTTAATGATAATTATGCTTTTCAGCTTGATTGTTACTAAACTCAGGTATATCAAAGAAGATTTTAAACTTTCTTTTTTTCAAAAGAAAATATAAAGTATAAGAGGATTTCATGATGCTCCTGACACATGTTTATGAATTTTTTAAAAACAGCAATAAACTTAAAATCAAAATTTTGCATTACACAGACATTTAACTTAAAAAAAAACTCTTTTTTTTAAGTTAAATGTCTGTGTTTCCATAGTTGTGTAGTTTGAACAAACTTCTATAATTCCATTTTCTAATTTTAATATGGCATTATGGAAGAGTTATTAATTTTTCACAAGCTAGCTAATTTGCAGATCAGTTATGAACATTTCTACTGTGATATCTCCATTACATTAACTTCGATTGAACTCTTCTTCATGAATTGGTAGACAATTTAAATTAAGATTTGCTAATTTCCTTGGCAAGAGCAGGATTGTAACAGTAAATGTCTCGTTTTTTTTTAGACACTTTTAATTAAGTATTTAATTTAGCACAGTGGTTAAGTGCGCTGTCATCAGTTTTGTTTTGGGGGTTTAAGACCTCCCCTCAGCATAACAAATTTTGAAATTTTTTCAATCTTGCTTATATATTTATAACAAAGAAAAAAAAAAAAATACAGCAAAAAAAATTTCTAAAATTTAAAATAAAATTTTAAAGTTTTATCATTTTATGGATATTTTATATGCAATTATTCCATAAAATGCCAACAAACTCAACATATGCTAAAGACATTTACACTTAAGATGTTTGTATATAACGCTATACAAATGGAACTAAGAAGATCTTAGACCACTAAAACAGTCATAAAAAAAAATTCATTCTTATGATTATGATTAAAAACTAAAGAAAAATATTTAACGCTAATCTAAAAGTTAAGCCAAAAAAATTTTGCACATTGACATCTAAAAGAATCAAACAAAAGTCTATCTATCAAAGGTCAACAAAAATTAAAAAAAACTATATTTTCACTAAAAAAAGAAACAGCACGTTAAACAGCGGACGAAGCATTAGAATTAATTTTGGATTCTAATTTAACAACAATATCAAAACGTTAGACAAGGAGCTGTTATTAAAATTATAATTTGTATGCTGATTACAAAAAGATTTGGAAATGTAAATTGACATGAAGAACAAATGGTAAATCTGTAATGGTTTGAACTCAGAAGATAATAAGATCTTATGGAGCAATTGGACTCCTCAATCTTCGCAGTTTTAAGTAAAAAACACTATATTGACAGACAGGTAGATAAAAAACATGATGTTGACGGACAGATAGTTAAGTTATAGCTAATAACATTTATTTTGTCTATTAACAAAAAAAATTTAAACCATTACTTTATTTATGATGCAAGTTGATAAAAATATTTTAAATATATTAACTGGAACAAATTCAAACCAAGCTTGTCCGATATGTGGAGCTACTTCCAATGATTTTGTCAAACTGCAAGAATTCAATACGACAGAATAATTAAAGCCTAAATATAATACTTTACAGTATGACATTAGTCTACTATATGCTTAGATACGGTTTTTTGAATTCATTGTCCACATATCATATAGATATAATTTGTGTAAATGACAAATTCTTGGTACTAATAATAAGAAAATTGTTTTATGTAAAAAAAGAAAAAGAAATGCAACAACGGTTCTTTGAAAATTGACACTTTTACGTGGATAAACTAAAAGTAGGAGATTTTGGAAGTACTAACCAAGGCAATACTGCTTGCCGAGCATTTGAAAATGTTGAAAATTTTTCTGAAATAACTAATGTGAATGAAGGCTTGATTAAAAAGTTCAAAATTATTCTTAAAGTTCAAAAGCAAAGAAGTTAGTGAAAGCAATTACGACTATGACGATGAAGTTGCTGATGAGGACTTAATTTCTGTTAACTATTTAGATTTCATTTAATTAAAATATAGTTGAAATTTAAAAGTAAAATATATTTGAAATTTAACTGATTTTTTGAATATGAATTCATGTAATGATATTTCTTTACAATAGATTTGAATAAAATATAACTTTATATTAATTATATCTATATATTGAATGTATATAAATTTATTAAATATACTAAATGTATTAAATATATAAAGTACAAAATTCATGAGGCTATTGAAATACAACGTGTAAAATGTTCAAAACCTAAAGAAAATGTTTTTCCAATGGTGATGACTCACACTTGGAAACCATTTTTTGTAAAACTAAAAAAATGTTGAATATCTGATGCTGCAATGACATCATTTGTTTACGTTAATTATAATTTTTTAAACAGTTTTTTTAAACGGTTTTATTAATTTGATAATGGCTCTCACTATATAAGCCGAAATATCACTTATAATAATAAAAAAAAGAAATAAATAGTATGATACCGTATATGATGTTTTAATGCTTATAACTACACATACTATTAAAGATGACACTCTTAAATATATATATATATATATATATATATATATATATATATATATATATATATATATATATATATATATATATAATTACAAATACAAATAGTATTGCGTACTAAGGTAAGCAAACTGGCGTCATACTGAAATAGCCTGCTGCTGGGGGCTTCAGTACATAAATCGACTGACAAATAGCCTGACACGCAGTAGAGTGCTGCTACATCGACTGATAGTTGGGATGGGGAAGCAATCGTTTCATTCATAATTCTTCATTTTTTCTTCTTCTTTTTTGGAAAAAATACTTATCAAAATACGCTGTAGTAAATGTGTGTATATATATATATATATATATATATATATATATATATATATATATATATATATATATTATTCATATAGAAGTTAGTTATAACACATTTAAAACATTTTACTATAAGAAATAAAAATCATTAGTTATTTTGTGTTTAAATTGAAGTCATTAATTTAATTCCAAAAATTTGGGTCTCAGAAAACATAGTGCAGTAGTAGGACTTGAATCACAGATTACTTGTTCAGAAGCTCGGAGCGCTATCCACTCGGCCACACTGGCACATTGTTAAACCAAAATTTTAAAAACTATATAATGATTTTTTAATGGAAATGTAATAGATCAAAATTAAGGAGAGCTTGACACAATGCAATTTTCAAGTAAAAATCAAACTGTAAAACTTGATAAATGTTCAGTATATTTTAACATTACTTAATTTAAAGTTTATGTACGTTTGCACACACGATCTTTCACATTTTCTTTTAAAATAAAGTGCTGCGACTATTTCTTGCCACTATCTTGGTTGCAATGGCTGCCAAGGGTTTCTTGTTAAATAGACTCAAAAGGGCACTAACACTAAAGGATTAAGTTTGGCAATAATAATTAGAGATAACATTTTGTTATTTTATTTAAAAAAATTTTTTTGAAAAAAGTTAGTAAAAAAATGATTCTCTTTTGTAATTTTTTTTATTCATTTTCACAACATGTGACTTCTAGAAAATCATGCATTGAAAACCAAGCTATGGGAAAAAAAAAGATATTGATATGAACATGTGCATTACTGATTTTTTTCCAATTATTACATTAATTAAATGCAAAAGAAAGTTTTTGCATTTAACTAATGTAATAATTAAATGCAAAAACTTTTGCATTTAATTACATTAAATGCAAAAGAAAGTTTAAAACTTTCACTTTCTTTTGCATTTTTTTAAATGAAAATTCGTAATTTAAAATTAAGTTTTTATTTCACATGCTATATATATATATATATAATATATATATATATATATATATATATATATATATATATATATATATATATATATATATATATATATATATATATATATATATATACATATATATATATATATATATATATATATATATATATATATATATATATATATATATATATATATATATATATATATATATATATATATGTATATATATATATATATATATATATATATATATATATATATATATATATATATATATATATATATATATATATATATATATATATATATATATATATAATTTAAACACTAATTAACAATTCAAAAATTTTTAATTTTTTCAGTTAGATTTATAAATTAACCTCAATATTCTCTTGTTCAGGTTGAGTTATAAAGACACCAATTATATCTAAACCAACAGGAAAAGATGATCGAATACAAGCAAACTCAACTTGGATTTCATCAGTTAATATATTTGTTGCATCATTATTTTCAAATAGACCAAGATCGAGTTCAACTAGGTCATGAACTCTAATTTTTTTTTCAATTATGATACCAAACAAGTACCCACATGAAAATCTAAATAAAATATTATATATAGTAATAATAAAGAATATATTAGATTTATTTCAAATTAAATTCAAATTTAAAAATACTAATTCAAATAACATGCAAATACAAATATACAAAAATAATATACTATACAAATGAATAAAACTATAAAAATTCTAGTGTTTTTTTTTTATGTTGCTATTTTTTGTGACAATAGAAAAGAAAATTACAAGTTTGAAATATTTAATCATCACAAATTGAAATATTTAACATATTCCTTGATGATTAAACATTTTATTTGATTGCTTTTAATCCATTTGATTTCTATTTTAATCCTTTTGATCCTATTAACAAAATTTTGTTTTGCTATATGATTTTGTTTATTTATTAAAATCTAGTCATTAAAACAGAATTATAGAAAAATGCTAAATACTATGTTTTACTTATGAAGGTAGTGAATAAATATTATGTTTTACAAATGAACGTAGTGAATAAATATTATGTTTTACAAATGAACGTAGTGAATAAACAAATTACCATTTTTATTCATTGAATATTAAAATGTCAATTTGTTTAAGAAGAATCTCTTCCAGAAAACATTTCTTCTAACAACAGGTTGAGCATTCCCAAAATATAATATTTTTTCTTTATTCTTTACCTCCTTTTCTATCTAATAGATTTTTTTTGAAATTCCTCTATATCTTTTGAACTTTCAAGATTAAATAATCCATTTTAAAGGCAAAAAGGAGGAATTACTAATATATTAAAAAGAAAGATGAACAAATTAAAATATATTTTAAAAATATAAACAAAAAATGTTTTAATTATAAGTATAAAAGGTTAAATTTATATCCAACCTTTTGTAGTAAAGACTTTTGTAACCAATAACGCTTTAACGCACAATGTATCAATTTGATATTTTAATTTAAAAAAATACATTCCCGTTGAATTGAACAATAAATAATATCAAATTATGTCTACAAATTTAAAGATGTATTTACCAGATATAATGTTTTTTATCATAATCAAACTTATAAAATGTAACATAAATGGGCGCAGTGTATCAATTTGAACAAAATGATAAAAATCAATTCATATTAAGTGATCTAAACATATTTGATGATGTAGAACAATAAAAGAAGGAAAAAATTGAAGCTACTAAAAAGCAGAACTTTGAGTCATTACTCAAAAACTCGTACGAGATAAAATTGATTGACATGTATCAATTTGATCAAGCGCCTGATGAAAGGTTAAGATTGTATTTTGTTGAATAATAGCAAAGTTTTGAAGCATTTTGTTCATACAATTAACTTGTATAATTAAACTTACGTTTTTTAAAATCTAATAAACAAACATTTTATTATTTAAAAAAATTATTATTTTTTAATTACAATAGTAATGAATGAGTTTAAATCTTTTACAATAATTTTTAAGTTCGTTACATGATGCGCTTATTTTTTTTTCACTTTTTTTTAAACATCTTCGCTTCCAACAAGGCTGCAAGCGACCTTTAATTAGTGTTGCAAGTTACTGGAAGGGAAAAGATAAAGATTGTAGAGCAAGATAACGATTGACAGATAACTTAGAAGATTGCAGATTATATAAATCAGGAAAGTGAGATGAAAGAAGCGAATTCCAAAGAACTGATGTTCGAGGAAAAAAACTAGAGGAATAAGTATTTTTGGAGAACATAGGAACAGTCACAGAAAAAGGATGAGACTTAATTGAATATCGAGTGACACGAGAATGAATTTAGTAGATGACACAATAGATACTAGCTCTTTAGAGCAGTGTCCATTATATTACGAATTTGATATATGGTTCCCAAAAAAGATCAGAAGTAAGAGTTAATCCTAGAAGATAAAGGGTAGATGACTCATCGAGTACATTAACATTCATAAATATAGGAAGGTTTAAATTATTGCGATAACAATTAGCTGAAAAAAATTGAGTTTTATCTGAATTGAAGTTCACCAGCCACTGTGAACCCCATGCTGTAGCAGAAGTGAGACCCTTTTCAAGCTCGAATGCCCCCTCCAAGCAATCAGAGAGAATTGGCTTCTTATCATGACAAAAATAAATGGTAATATCATCAGCGAGCAATGCCACCTTGGATGTTAAAATATCTGAAAGATTGTTAATGTAAATTAAAAAGAGTATAGGGCCTAGAATTGAACCTTGAGGAACCCCTGAGGTTACAGAATAAGAACAAGAGTGCTATCCATCAAGGACAATATTTATACTACGATTGGAAAGGAAGGATTCAATAATCTTAAAGATGTTTCCAGATGAACCGTAAAAAGAAAGCTTATGGAGAAGACCAGTATGCCAAACTTTATCGCTTTAAATGCTTTAAAAATATCAAGAGCGATGCTCTTAACCTCTATCCACCTTTATCTAATGCACAACAAAACCTATTGGTTATTACTGTTAGCAAATCAGCTGTAGAACAAGAAGATCAAAATCCATGTTGCTGATCAGAAAGTAAGTTATTAGATTCAAGATGAGAGATTAAGTGTTTGACTCTGATAAGCACTTGTTGAATAGTATTGAAAAGATAAACGACAGCTCACAAGCCTTCCTAGGAAAGGCATGCGGTTTTTCGTCTTGTATGACCACACGCAATTATAATATTTTAGAAAACAGGAACACGACTGTTTGCAATTTTTATAATAATGCTGAAAAAGTTTCAAAAACAAAAAAACAAAACTAAAAAAATAAAAAGACATTGAAATAAAAAAAAAATAAAAAAAAAAAAATAATTTAAATGATTTGTGTACTGTTTTTATTTTTCTTTAGAGTTACATTCAGCAACAAAATTAGATAAGGCGAAGCAAAAAAAAAAAAACAGTTTGAAGTCTACAATAAAAAGAATGTTTTTCCTTTTCTTAATTTTTTTTTTTAAGAGGATAGCAAAAATACAAATTGCAATATATTTGTAAAATTTATTTGTATAATTTTAATGTAACGCACTTATAACTTTTAAAATTCATTCTTTGTTCAAGCAACATTAGTATTCCCAAATTTTAACTGAAGTAGAAAAATCTCTAGAAGAATAAAGTGGATGTTCAAATAAGATTAAAACTAAAGTAACTTATAAAATTGTGACAAACAACTTTATGAAAATGTATCGTATTTAAAGTTTAGCATTATGAAAAACATTACTAATGGACCGTAAAAACACGCGCTAATTTTAAAATTAACCAATAAAAATTTTTTATTGGTTGATTTTAAAATTAACGCGCATTTTTACATAAGTTTTTCATAATGCTACTTTTTATAAAATACTTTTTTATAATGTTGTTTGAGTGATATGTGAAAGTTCCTGAAATTTTTAATAATATTTGAATATACACATTATTTTTTCTAGATGCTTTTCTACTTTAATAAATGTTTGGAATTAATAATGTTGTTTGAACAAAGAATGAACTTAATAAGTGCTTTATAAATATCTGTCTTGATGTTTAAGAACTATCTTGCTGTACTGCTTTGTTCAAGTTAATACAACTTGTCCAGCACTTGATACAATTAACATTTCAGTTTAAAAAAAATTTTGTTAATGTATACTCAGTGTTAGTGGCCTTCAGGTCCTTCTGTTGTTTTCAAATGAATAAAAATAAATAAATAAATGTAGTAACACTATTATAGTTTTAAGACTTTTATAATGCAGTTAGTGACTAAAGTGTTATTACTTTTGTAGTCGTAAGTTTATTGTTTTTGCATATTTATACTGCAAGCCAAGCATGTGGCTTGCATTATAAATACATCAATTCAACTATTTGTCAGGTTTAAATCCTTTGACCATTTTGAAATCAGTTTGAATCCTTTGACCATTTTTTTACATACTTCCGCTTGGCACCTCTTCGCTCTTTCGTCTTTCTCTTTGTTCACTACCGTTTTCCCTCTTCCCAAGAAAAAGAAAAACGTTTTTTTTTTTTTTTTTGCTTTGACTTAATGAATTTTGTTGCATCAGCAACAAAATTCATTAAGTCAAAGCAAAAAAAAAAAAAAAAACGGTTTTAGGCGTTAAAAAGGATGACTTTCCCATATTTTATTTGTTTTTTCTTTTAAAGAGGAAAGAGAAAATATGTATCGTCATCTGTTTGTAAAATATATTTGTATAATTATAATGTAACAAGTTTATATCAAGAGTTAAATTATATGATCACAATTTGCAAACCTTGGTAAAATATTAGGTCTTTAAAATTTTAGTTCATGCAAAGCTGTGTACTTTGTTTATAAGGAGCAAATTATTAAAAGTTTGCTTGCGAGAAAGTTACAAAAAGCAAAAAAAAAACAAAAACTTACGACTACAAAAGTAATAACACTTTAGTCACTAACTGCATTATAAAAGTCTTAAAACTATAATAGTGTTACTATATTTATTTATTTTTATTTATTTGAAAACAACAGAAGGACCTGAAGGCCACTAACACTGAGTATACATTAACAAAAATTTTTTTAAACTGAAATGTTAATTGTATCAAGTGCTGGACAAGGTTTGCAAATTGTGATCATATAATTTAACTCTTGATATAAACTTGTTACATTATAATTATACAAATATATTTTACAAACAGATGACGATACATATTTTCTCTTTCCTCTTTAAAAGAAAAAACAAATAAAATATGGGAAAATCATCCTTTTTAACGCCTAAAACCGTTTTTTTTTTTTTTTTTTGCTTTGACTTAATGAATTTTGTTGCTGATGCAACAAAATTCATTAAGTCAAAGCAAAAAAAAAAAAAAAACGTTTTTCTTTTTCTTGGGAAGAGGGAAAACGGTAGTGAACAAAGAGAAAGACGAAAGAGCGAAGAGGTGCCAAGCGGAAGTATGTAAAAAAATGGTCAAAGGATTCAAACTGATTTCAAAATGGTCAAAGGATTTAAACCTGACAAATAGTTGAATTGATGTATTTATAATGCAAGCCACATGCTTGGCTTACAGTATAAATATGCATCAATTTAACTATTTGTCAGGTTTGAATCCTTTGACCATTTTGAAATCAGGTTTGAGTCCTTTGAC